TCCTGTCCCAAAGCTCTTATTGTACAGACGAGCAACAAAGAAATAAATAAAACAAAACACACTTGTAAAAAAAAAAATACATTTAAGGTAAAAACAAATAAACGTGGAAAGAATAGGCCAAAATAAAATGGCATCTTTCAGACTTGAAAGTTACAGTCCGGGCTGGCTTTTTGTCACCAGCTTCCAAATGAATCTTTGCTCTGTTTTTATTTATTTATTAATTAAATAAACAAAGTTATATAACTGCAAGCTGTTTTCTTGCATTGAGGTATTTGGTGACCCATCTCTGTCTGCTTGCTTTTTTCCCCCCAAGGCAATCTGAGCTTGGAAATATTTTTTGTTCCGAAAATAAAAAATAAAAAAATCGGGGACTCTTTTTATCAGGGCAATTAATTTCTCCTTGTAAAACATGGCTGACTTTTTTTTTCCCCTTCCTGCTTTGCAAAAGTCCATGGCGTGGGTGCCCCCTCAATTAACTTCCCCTCTCTCTCTCTCTCTCTCTCTCTCTGCTAAAATTGCAACGGGTGCCAAATTAAGAGCCTGGGAAAGCCAACTTGTCTTTGCATGATTGATTTGTTTTTAAAAGTGCCCAAGCAACAACATTCCCCTTCCAAACGCTTGTAACCGTGTTTTCTACACCTGGGTAAACTATGCAAGATTGGATAAAAGTGTATTTTTCCCCCCCTCCCCTTTGGGGAAGGGATACACAAAACCCATCATCCATCACAACAGGAACACAAAAAGTGTAAAAGGGCTTTTTGATAAGTTTTGGGTAATCAGAGGAAAAAGTTTGGGAAGCCCTGCCGTTTATTTTATTTTAACGTGCCGAGAAAGTTTAAAAAGCAGTGACTTTTCTTTTCATTTGCAGGGAAATTTTAAAAAGCAACACCTTTCATTTTAGTTGGCAAAGAAGTTTTAAAAAGCGATGCCTTTCATCTCATTTCGAGTTGCAAAGAAATTTAAAAAGCAATGACTTTTCATTGGCAAAGAAATTTAAAAAAGCAATGCCTTTTATTTTAACTCGCAGAGAAATTTTAAAAAGCAAATGCCCTTTTACTTTTAAGTTGCCGAGAAACGTTAAAAGGCAAATGTTAAGCTTTTATTTGGTTTCCTGATTTTTCGGCCGTGGATAATTCTGCCGAACGGGAGGGAGGGGCGGGGAAAAGGCTTTCTCGACTGCTGTTTATGATCAGGGTAAATAAACTCTAGACTCCTCCCTTTCCAGTTTTGTAAAGCCAATGATGCAATATTTCTTACCCCTTCTTAATTTTTTTCTTCCCCCCTGCCCCCCCCTCCCCCTTAAATGGAATTTGCCCTGTGTTTTCTCGCAGGTAAACAGTTTCCTCGCATTCAGGGCATGCTCCCAGCCAGGCCTTCAACGTGTGGCGTGTTTTTAGCCTTTCAAGGCTAAACTTGAAACTTGTTTGGATCTGGCCGAGCACATGGATATAATTACTCCCTGTTTTTATTTATTTATTTATGCTTGCAAAACCCTTCCTATATATGTTTCTGGTCACACATTCCCCCAGGGAGGGAGGGAAACCCTGCAGGAAAGGAAATTCCTCATGCCTGTTATAGGTCCCTGGTATATTTCCCTTGCATATGGCTGTGTTTAAAATGCCGTTCCGCAGACGTTTTACAGGGGATTTTTGGCAGGAAAGAAAAAGGAAGGAAGGAAGGAAGGAAGGAAGGAAGGAAGGAAGGAAGGAAGGAAAGAAAGAAGAAAGAAAGAAAGAAAGAAAGAAAGAAAGAAAGAAAGAAAGAAAGAAAGAAAGAAAGAAAAGGAAAAAATAATAAAGGTGGAAGAAATAAACAAGGAAGGGAGGAAGGAAATAAACAGGAGAAAAAGGAAAGGAAGACAGAGAAAGAAAAAGAAAAAAAGAAAAAGAAAGAAAGAAAGAAAGAAAGAAAGAAAGAAAGAAAGAAAGAAGGAAAGGGAAGAAAGAGAGAAGGAAAGGAAAGGAAATATTGATACCAAATATCGAGAGGAGCTTTATAAATAAACTCTGCCAGTAAGGATTTCTGTGTTTAAGACACAGGATCAAAAAATTGAGGGAGAGGGGAAGGTTTCCTTCTCAAGGGCAAAATATATATTATACAGTCCTCAACTTACGGCCACAACTGAGCCCAAACTTTCTGTTGTTAAGTAAAACATTCGTTAAGGCAGAGTTTCGCCCTATTTTACGACCTATCCAGTTGCTAGTGTGTGTTTAATTTTGTCGTACAAGCTGCAGTGACAATAAAGGAAAGTAAACTAAACTAAAGCAAATCCCTGTGGTGGATGAGTTAGTCATTCGGTCGTTAAGTGAATCCGGCTTTCCCCATTGACTTTGCTTGTCAAAAGGTCACCAAAGGGGATCACATGACCTCCTGGGACCCTGCCACCATCATAAGTACAGGACAAGCGGCTGAATTTTGATCACATGATCACCAGGAGGCTAAAAAGGCCGTAACCATAAGACACGGTCATAAGTCGCTCTTTTTCAGTGCCGTTGGTCACTAAATGAACTTGTTGTAAGTTGAGGGCTAGTTGTATTTACTAGGGCCTAAATCAGGGTTGGCAGTAGATCTTGGCTTGTGAAAGCAAGCCACCAACCAGGAGTTTGATTGTAACTGTAGCTTAGGGCAGGGGTCGCCAACCTTTTGGACCTCAGGGACCACCAAACTCATCATTTTAAATCCAGAGGGGACCAGAGTCCCTGGGAAAATCCCCCAAAAAAGTCTGCAGGAAAATTCCCCACCCCGTTTTTCTACCGATCGATCGTTCTTTATTTGGGATTGCAGGACACCGTCTCCAGCTCTGTTCTCAGGGGGAGAGAGAGAGAGAGGAGAGACTTTTGGCTTCATGCAAGGAAAGCAGCAGAAGCCGCAAAAGTCTTTCTTTCTCTCCCCCAAACTCCACCAGAAATGAGTCTTTGTGACACTTGTCACAGCCTCTTGGAGCAGGAGGCCTTGCAGGGTCCCAAAGACTCATTTCTGGCGGAGTTTGGGGGAGAGAAAGAAAGACTTTTGCTGCTTTCCTTGCGTGTAGCCAAAAGCAGAAGAAGGAAGAAGCGGAAAGAAGCAGCCCAGTGGTCAGGCCAGGTGCGTGGGGCAAATTCCTCCCCCTCCACCCTTCCCCCCCTCCCCTCACTACCCCGTGTTGTTCGCAATGCAAGCGACGGGCCATCTGGGCAGCACAGCCTTGTGCTCCTGCACCGCCTGGATTAATTGCTTTGGGGTGGGGGTGGGGACATTTCTCTGCAGACCACCAAAATTTTCTCACAGACCACCAGTGGTCCCCGGCCCACTGATTGGCAACCACTGGCTTAGTGGGAGCTTGCAGGAAAAGCGAAATGCTGTAAGAGTGATGGTGCAAGATGAATTGGTGGCCAGCTTGTGATCAATAAACCCGGTTAATGATTCATGCCGTGGGACCCTGAGCAAGGAAACTCACAGAAGTTCTTTGATTTGTGGCCAGTCGCTTGCTCTTTGCCTGGCCTACCTCACAGGGTTGTTGGGGGGACAAAACCTGGAGGAGAAAATATGCTTTGTATCTTTTTAACTCCTGGAGCAACGTAAATTTAATGAAAGGAAGCCTGTAAGCATTTTGGTTTTTTGTTTTTTTTACAACTAGCCTGAGACTTTGAGGGGAAAAAATCAATGCAAGTAGGAATTGACTTACGACTATTCATTTAGGGACCGTTCGAACTTAACAACTGCAATTGGTCCTCGCAGTTATAACCGTCGCAGCATTGTCCCACGGTCACGTGATTGATGCATGGGTTTAACCGTGGTCGCCGCATCCGTGAGTCACGGGATTTCTGCAATCTCCCCCGGTGTCAGCTTTGGAAGCCATATTAGCAGCAGAAGCTTCCACGTTGCCCCATTCCAGCTGGCTACCGACAAAGCAAATTCCGTGGAGGAAGCCAGGTTCCCTCAACGCCTCTCTGATTCACTTAAGGACTGCCGCGATTCACTTAGTAAGGCGGCAGAAAGGTCACAAAATCAAGCACGGCTGGCTGGCTGAACCAAACGGGCCTCGCCTAGCAAAAGGGAAATTCTGGTCCGGATTTGAAGCCAAGGACCCACCTGTATTTGAAAATATTTTAAAAGTCCCTGTGTTTGTTATCAAAGAAATCTCGCCGATTATCTCCACGCCAGCAGAGAGCAGATATCAAAGGGTAGATCAGCTGCAGAATTATGCTCTAAGGAAACATTTAATCATCCTGGTGCGAGTTTAATTATTAGCTTGATTTTCCGGGTTTTTTTTTTTTTTTTAAAGAAAATGCACTTCAAATCTCTCTCTCTCTCTCTCTCTCCCTCTCTCTTTCTCCCTCCCTCCCTCTCTCTCTCCCGCTCCCCTCTCCCTCTCTCCCGCTTCTCTGATGGAGTTGTTATCCTTCCGCTGGAAAAATAAAATCACTGGCGTTAAGGAGTCTGTGTGTTTCTATACTCTTTCCTTCTGCTGTGTGTCGGAAAATATATAAACGGCCCTGCGGAGTTTCTATTTCTATTTCGCAGAGGCATAAATCTTGGGTCGGTAGGATTCAGGTTTCACAGCTGCGTTGTTGTCCAAGGATTCTGTTTGCTTTTGCAAACGAGCAGAGCGAACACACACAAGAAAGAAAGAAAGAAAGAAAGAAAGAAAGAAAGAATAACACAATGCGAAATTGCTCCAAGGAAAGGCTCTGTAGTGAAAGCAACTTTTTTTGGTGTGAGTGGTTTCCTCGAGAACAGGAAGACGAAGCAAGAGAAAGAAAGCGACGGTGTGTCGAATCCTCTTCCTTAATCTGAAATTCTCGTCCCTGGAGACCGTTCAGACATGGAAACAGCCTTGTTTCCTTGGTGGAGAGAGAGAGGGAGGGAGAGAGAGAGAGAGAGAGAAAGAAGCGTGCGAGGGCCAGATTCCTCCGCTGGTTGTTCATTTCGCACAGCGTCAGCCGCCGTTATGTTTACCCCAAAGTTTATCTTAAGTTTTCTTGCTGCGAGATTGGACCTCAAAGCGAGCCGTCTTCGAGATGGAGGCCACAGTCGTTGGCCCTTTGCAACAAACCAAGATCAAGCCAGGTGATTTCTTGCTTCCAGAGTTAACAACACACACACACACACACACACACACACACACACACACACAAACGCACAAATCTTAACAGCAAGCTTTTGTGGGTTGGAAGTCGCAGACATTTGCAGCAAACCAAGATTGGGTCAGAAAGAAGAACCACATAACTCTGATGTTGTTTATTTATTTGGGAAATTGCCAGGGTGGGCTGCTGGGAGATGGGGGGGGGGGGCTAGCTAAGATTCTGTGCAGTTTGGAGAACTACTGGCTGGTCCTGGGTGAACCTCCCCAGGGGTTGGGACTCACAACCTTCCTTGTCTCGCTGCTCTAGTGCGTTGGGTGGATGTGACCAGCAAGGGAGGGAGAAAGAGGGGGGGAAAGGGAGAGAGGGAGGGAGAGAGAGAAACAGAGAGAGAGAAAGGGAGAGAGGGAGAGGGAGGGAGGGAGGGAGAAAGAGGGGAAAAGGGGGGGAGAGGGAGGGAGAGAGAGAAAGGGAAAGGGAGGGAGAGAAAAAGGGAGAGAGAAAGGGAGGGAGGGAGAGAAAGGGAGGGAGGAAGAGAGAAAGGGAGGGAGGGAGGGAGGGAGAAAGAGGGAGAGGGAGGGGGAGAGAGAAACAGAAAGGGAGGGAGGGAGAAAGGGGGAGGGAGGGAGAGAGAAAGGGAGAGGAAGGGAGAGAGAAAGGGAGGGAGGGAGGGAGAGAGAAAGAGAGGGAGGGGGAGAAAGGGAGAGGGAGGGAGAAAGAAGGAGGGAGAGGGAGGGAGGGAGAGAAACAGAAAGGGAGAGAGGGAGAGCGAGAGAGAAAGGGAGAGGGAGGGAGAGAGAGAAAGAGAGGGAGGGAGAGAGAGAGCCCACCAAGTCATGCCCACCGAACTGGCGGTCAAACCCTTGGAATCCCACCACCGCATCAGATGTGCCTCCTTCGGGGTCGGGCTCGCAACCTTCCTTGCCTGGCCGCTCTAGCGGGGTCGAGTGGATGTGACCCGGTTCCCCGCAGGTCACCTGGTCCCCAATTTCCATCCTCCTTTCCAATCAGGTGTTACGAATTGTACAACAATGGTGGCTGCAGCTTAGCTCGGTGTCGATAGGAGCTCCTTTGATGCTTGTTTTGGAGAAAGGACCGTCTCAAGGTAGAGAGGCTCTCACAGCAAGCAGCTAAACCAACTATTGGGTGTTGTGGTTTATAATTCTGTGTTGTTTCCATGCTTACCCCCAGGTTCATTGGGGCGGGGAAGGGGAATTGCACTAAATGAAACCGAAAGCCTTTCACCAAAATAGTAGGTACGAGCAAGCAAGCTCCACAATAAGTTAAGATTAAAGATCCAAAATCTGATAACCTTGGGTTTGTTGTTGTTTTTTTTAACCACAATTACTTGAATCAGGCATGACTTCCTGATTGCGCATACGCCTGATACGAAGGCTTCCAGAACAACACAGCTAGATTCACACAGAAAGAAACCATTATTACACAAAGTTTTAACCCTTTTGCTTGGTTTTTAAGCCGGCCATCTTACGGTTCTCTTACCAAAATAATGTTAAGCAGGTCTGCTCAAAAGGAAGCACCAAACTGCAAGGGTTGGCTTTGCAAATCACACTAAATTACTAAATAGTAATGTGGTTTGTTTTGGGTTGAGGAGTGCGTCGTGCTTCCTTCAGCAAACTATAGTTAGAATAACAGAGTTGGAAGGGACCTTGGAGGTCTTCTAGTCCAACCCATTTCAGACAGAGGGGTTGTCCAATCTCTTCTTCACAACCTCCAGTGTTGGAACATTCACAACTTCTGGAGACAAGTTGTTCCACTGATTTAATTGTTCTGACTGTCAGGAAATTTCTCTGTAATTCTAAATTGCTTCTCTTTTTGATTAGTTTCCATCCGTTGCTTCTTGTTCTTCCTTCAGGTGCTTTGGATAATAGATTGACCCTCCTCTTCTTTTTGTTTTGTTTTTTTCTTCGTGTAACGTAACGTTTGTTACGTGAGATTTTGTCAGGATTCCAGCAATCGCCCTAATGAAGTCATGATTCTTGAGCCAAACTTCAAAAAACTTCAAAGGATTCACTAGAGGCGACATACCGGCACTGCCCCGTATAAAGCCAAGTCGGGCACACGTCATCGACAGTCCCCTGTGACCCCGCTTGCCCCCCCCCCCCCCCCCCCCCGGGGAGTCTCACCAACCAGATTCTCCAATTAAGCCCGATCACAGGCTGGGTGTCATTAATCACATTCTCCAATTACGGGCTGGGTGTCATCAATCACGCCCTCCGATTCAACAATTCCTCCTCTTCTTTTTGGAAGGCTGCTATCCTGTCTCCCCTGGTCCTTCTCTTCACTAGACTAGCCAGGCCCAGTTCCTGCAACCATTCTTCCTATGTTTTAGCCTCCAGTTCCCTCATCATCTTGGTTGCTCTTCTCTGCACTCATTCTAGAGTCATAAAAGTATATTTTTCAACATAACAGAGCAGTTAGATACAGATTGACAGAATTGGAAGGGACCTTGGAGGTCATCTGGTCCCAAGCAGGAGACCCCACCCCATTTCTGACAGGTGGCAGTCCAGTCTCTTCTTAAAAGCCTCCAGGGATGAAGCTCCCACGACTTCCGAAGGCAACTTCTGTTCCATCGGTCGATTGTTCTCACTGTCAGAAAATGGTTTCCAATTGAATCTCTGTTTGATCAGTTTCCATCAGGGGGTTGGAATAGAGGACCTCCAAGGTCCCTTCTAACTCTTTGTCATTCTATTTGACTTCTTTCTCATACTAAAAACAGCCCAGTTTCTTTGTGGTCGTTATTCTCTCCGTTCTTCGGAGTTAAAAACCCTGGATACTCGGCTCCTTGGGCTTCGAAACCGGATTAAGGATTACCTTTAGCCAGCCAGGTTTGCTCCTCCTGAACCAGGAAGACGGCGCAATAGGAATCTTGTTTTTTCTCTCTGATTCATTCTTGACAAAATAATAACACAGATTTTAATCATGCAAAGCAGTGTCTGCTCCAAGGCAAGATGTCACCAAAACCGTGAAACAGACGTTGTGATGTAATACCACAAGCTTGTCTCCCTTTATGGACACACAGTCCTCAACTTACAACAATTCATGTAGTGACTGTTTGAACTTACAAGATAGATAGAGAGATAGGGAGAGAGAGAGAAAGAGAAGGTGGGAGGGAGGGAGAGAAAGAGAGAGAGAGAGAGAGAGAAAGAGAAGGGGGGAGGGAGGGAGAGAAAGAGAGAGAGAGAAAGAGATTCTTGGTTTGAGTTTGGTTGTCGGTCTCGATCCAATGGCCTTGTTAAGTTTGGAAGAATTTGTGTACAGGCAGACCTTGACTTTCAACCGTTTTGTATAGTGACCATTTGAAATCACAAGAGCCCTTTAAAAAAAACTGGGGCTTTTCCACACATCTTCCAGTGGCCCAGATTGGAAAACCAAAGTCCCAGGCGCCTTTTGTGCAAGAAAGAGAAAGCTTTCGTTCGCAACTTGGGCCCGTTTTCCAGACCGAAAGAAGGTCCAGGACGGGGTTTTGTGGTTGTGCAGTTTTCCAATCTCTTCCTCCCCCCTTTCACCAAAAAAAGCTCCCGTGTCCTGCTCTCTATACACAGTCAGCCGGTGCACCCAGGGGGAGGAAAAAAGGCTTGCTTGATCATTTTGAAACGGAAATGTTTATTGAAGTTTGTCGAGCGTGACTGACATCTCGGGGCGTGGATGCAAAAAGGTTCGACATAGTCTGTGCCATGAAGAGAGCTTTCTTTTTCTTTTTTCGAAGAAGAGAAAGAGGAGGAGGAAGAAGAGGAGGAAGAGGAAGAGGGGGAAGAAGGAGGAGGAAGATGCAGAGGAAGAGGAGGAAGAAGAGGAAGAAGATGGAGGAGGAGGAGGAAGAAGGAGGAGGAGGAAGAGGAAAAGGAAGATGCAGAGGAAGAGGAGGAAGGAGGAGGAAGAAGAAGAGGAAGAAGATGAAGGAGGAAGAGGAAGAGGAGGAGGAAGATGAAGAAGAGGAGGAAGAAGGAGGAGGAGGAGGAAGATGCAGAGGAAGAGGAGGAGGAGGAGGAGGAGGAGGAAGAAGAAGAAGAAGAAGAAGAAGAAATAATAATAATAATAATAATAATAATAATAATAATAATAATAATAATAAT